CAACGACATAAAGAGATCTCCAGAGATTTGGTGGGTTCCTGAACTCCCACAGTCAGCTTCCAGTCAAGGACCACAACGACCAGATCAACCGTTAACAACGCCAGCTGTTCAGAATCCTGATCCTGTCCCTGATCCACCGGAGAACATAGCAGCACCCAACCAACAACCGGTGCAGTTACAACAAACGTTCGGGCATCCCAATACGTCAAAGCACCAGAGTTCGCCAAGAAGTCGATCGTTACAAGCCTAAGGACTTCAGACAACAAAAACATCCGCATCGCTCGTAAATTAAAGGAGGAGATGTGTTATGTATAATCAAATGTATTCTTAATTTTATACCCTTCACAAAATATGTTCACATTGTACAACACACATTCTATCCTATCTGGCAACCTTACACTTCTTCAGTATACTATTATAAAGAATATGAATAAACAGTTGGTAATAAGCACTCGACGTGATCGCTTCTGTCTGCTCGCTCCCAAACATAACAGATTTGCAGCAGGGTTCGGCTGGAAAACGCCCTGGAGATGTGAGGCAAAAGTTTCGGCTCTGTCTTTGTCGCTGCGGGCCCAGCAACCAGATGACTTTCTTATCGGGGTTAAGGGGTCAGCCGGTGAGCTTAAATTTGGGTGAGCTCTCCATAAGGGATGCTTTGTGCTGGTTGGCGAGAGTTTTTCAATATATCTTATTTGTGCTTTTTCGGCATCTTGCTTCAGGGCCCGGCTTAGTTTGCGTGTGGCTTCATTTAGACGTTCCTTTGAGCATGGCGATCTATTGGTTTGCCACGCCCGTCGCAGACGCCTCTTTTCTTGGATAAGCTGTTCAATTTGCTGGTTCGTTTTAAATTTGATTTTTTGCACATCCGTCTGTTGTGGTGTTGAGATTCTGGCTGCAGTCACAAGTACCTCTTCCAGTGCGGAGGTGGAGGAGTCGATGTCGGTTTCAGTATTGAGCTGGGGGGCTAGCTCAATGTGGGAACTCACATACTTTTTGTATTTCGTCCAATTGGTTCTGTGCGACGTCAGCCTATAGGGGCGATCCGTAGTTTCTGGGCTTTGAAGGAGGGTTATCAGCAGCGGCGAGTGATCTGAAGAAAGGTCTGGAAGGGCCTTGGCGTTTATTAAATTTCGTGGGATGTTTTTTGTCACCGCGAAGTCAATTAGATCGGGTATCTTTCTGGGGTCTGCTGGCCAATATGTGGGGCTACCAGGAGAAACGTAGTCCAGCTTATTTCTCACATTGATGAGAGCGTTGTACAGTTGTCTTCCCTTGGGGGTCACGAGGCGGGATCCCCAATGCGTATGCTTGGCGTTGTAATCTCCTGCAGCTATAAATCGATCTCCAAGTGAGTTGTAAAAATCCATAAATTGACCTTCGGAGATTGTAAAGCGAGGTGGGCAGTAGACAGCAGCAATGCAAAGGTTGCCGTTACCTGACTGCACTTTTATGGACGTTGCAAGAAATTTGTTGCAAACCTTTGGTGAAAATGGTGTTTGATGCGTTCTCTGATGAGGATGCCGGTCCCGCCGTGGGCTTTACCATCTGGATGATCTGTGCGGTGGAAGGTATAACCTCTTATATGAAAGTTGTATCTGCTTGTGAGGTGCGTTTCAACCAGTAGCATGGCGTCGATGTGATTTTTATTTAGGAATTGTATTAGTTCAAGTTTATGCCGTGAGACGCCGTTGGCATTCCACGTGGATATACGTAGATTAGACATTGATTATTTCGACTGTTGTGCTACAAGCAACTGTATCACCATATTCTGATACTGGACAAGCGTTTGCATGGTCGTTTTCATAAATGACTTGAGTTCCATCATACTTTGTTGCATGGTCACCATCATGGATTCCAGGTTGTTTTGTGGCTGCCCTGGGGCCTGCTGAGCGTTTACCGAGTTTGAGGGGGGAGGCTTTTGCATACCTGTTCGAAGAGCTTCAGCGTAGGAGATGCCCGTGGGGGCACTTAGCGGACCAAAAGAGGATCTGGCTGCTTTGGCAAAAAATACTTCTGGAGTAGTTTTTGAATTATAATACACATTTTGTGTATTTTGTTGGCGTGTAGCTGTTGCTCGTCGCATGCGACTCTTCAGCTCCTTGTAGACCACGCAGCCTCTGTAGTTAGCTGTGTGATTTCCTCCACAGTTTCCGCATTTTTTCTTGTTTGGGTCTTCTTTGTTCGCAGGGCAGTGTGCGGAATTGTGGAAGTCTCCACAGACTACGCAGACTGACCGAAGGGTGCAGTATGTCCTTGTATGTCCATACTCCTGGCAATTTGTGCATTGCACAGGACCGTTGCGTTTGTGCGGTTCTTCCACGGAGATTCTTTGATGCAATAGGAACTGCAACTTGTAGATCGGGTGAACTTCGTTCTTCTTCATGGTTTTACTTTCTGGCTCCAGTTCGACTTTGAAAAGTGGTTGCGGCTTTTTGTTTTTATTTATAATGTTGCTGACATTCTTGGCAAGGAAACCCTTGCCTTTCAGGGCTTCCACTATCTCAGAGGGGGCGACGTCTGGTTCAATTCCTTTTAACACGACTTGCAGTCCCTTGCTGCTTTTTAGTTGGTAGGTGTAAAAATTCTTTTTGGATTCTTCCAGATATTTAGACACAGCCCGGAAGTGTTCTTCTGTTTTGGTTTGAATTTTTGTTTCGCAAATGTTCCCTTTAATAAGCGGAACAACATGAAAGTTTCCGTCCCCGACCAGCGCAACAATTTTGTTGACCAGGGCGTTTGAGCTTTTCTCCCTAATATAAATGGGTGGGGGCTTTGGCTGTTTTTGGGTCTCCTGCTCCGGCTCTGCTTGGTTATTCTCATCAGCTGCTAGCGGAGAAAATTTGTTGGAGTTGTTTGGGTCGTAGCTTTTGGTGACACGGTTGATCTTAGGCTTGTTACCAACCGTGTTATGTGGGCTAAGCTTACGCTTAATTTGGATGTAGCGATCCATGCCAGTCTGTATGGCCGGAACCGCTTGTTGCTTTTCGGAGTTCACGGTTTTTGTTACCATTGAATTTGGCGATGCGGCCGTTGGCACCGATTTCGCAATATTGGTCGTTAGTTTAGTTGTTGCTGTTGCTTTTGCTACGTTTGCAGAAATTGCAGCTCTGCTTGTTGTTGGTGCGTCTTCCATCGAAGCCGGTGGTGGTGGGGTTTGGCATTGGGAGCTCCAAGATGTAGGAGCTGGACTGAGTGGGGCGGGTGAGCAAGAGCGCGCTCTCGTGCCGTCGGCGGTCAGTAGAGCCGGGTTGGGCTTTGTAGACGTTTTTTCTGCTTCGATATCGCGAGTTGAGAAAAAAGTGAAACAGCCGTTTCTTTGGTTTACAGAGGTTCTACGCTCATTCTTTTGATCGCCGCTCATTATTATGAGCTTGTTACGCGTGGCACCATATAAATGAACTTTGCAGCTCAAAAACACGTCTCATGCACTAGTGTCCGTATGTCATACGCACTGTAGGGCTTGGCCTAGCTGACAGTACGTAGTTTAGAGTTCCGAAATTACTTTTTCACCATGAAAAAACACTTCGAGAATAAACCCCGCGTAGCGGTCGTCCGTAAGCACGTCTGCACTCGATGAAGGTCGAATGCGAATTTCCCTTTCCACCAACTTGTCTGCTTGTTGGGGTGCTTCCATCTTATCCGATATTGGCTGTAATTGACTTTCCACCTTGGCAGCATCTATCTTTTCAGCCTGAAGTTTGGCTTCAAGCTTTTCCTGTACCGCAAGCAGACTTTCTTCCAGTTTAGCTTGGGAGTCCTCCACCTTAGTTTGTAGTTGCCTGTCTAATCTGTCCAACTTCGCTTCAGCATCACGGGTCCTTTGGTCCTGGGCCTTGACGAGCTGGTTAAGCATGGGTTTGAGTTCAGTCAGACAGGAGCTGACTAACGGATCGTTGAAGCACATATAGACGGACCGAGGATCCACAGGATACAGGCAGCCAGCGCCCAAAGGAAGAAGGTACCGAAGTTGTGCCTCCTTCAAATAGGAGAGATTGTAAGACCGCTGATGTCGGAAGTCTCTGGTGAACTGATTTCCGAATTATTCAAAGACTTTCGAAGAGGCATCGAGCTTAGGCTGGGATTGCATACATTTATATATTCATATTCCGACTTATATATATATATCTTTGTTTACAAAGAGATGTCTCCTTTGGGATATTGCTTTTACGAAAATTTGGGAGCGAGATTGCCCGTTTGGGATGTTGGTTGTACCCAATAATTTGATAGTATAAGTGCCGTGGAGCTCGTGGAACAACCCTAGAAGCCGTCCCACATTTTGCCATCATAGAAAACAACGCTGTGCGTATGGTTTCTGTCGCCGGGTTGTGACTTATAACACTTTAAAACTTGTGCGTAGCCACAGATAAGAAGTGGCCCTGCAGGCCATTTGCCGGTTCTTGAATCGCCACTCGCCAGAAAGGGTCTATTGGGAGTCGCGTTGGCGATTGCTGCAGTACTTCTTTCGGTAATCCCCGAGGAGAGACCTCTGGGAATCGCTATGGCGATTTCTGGAGGAGTTATTTACGAAAATCCCCAAGAAGGGTCATCTGGGAGTAGGTTGAAAAGCAGCGTTAAAAACTAGGAAATGAAGAAATGAGGGATGAGGGAAGCAAAGGAATTTTACAAAAACAAATGGCATTACTTTTGAGTGCGAATCTTTCTATGATAATTTAGTCTAAAGTCGCATCTATGCAATAAAAAATTACTCTTCCGCGACGCTTCTAGAACTATTATCCTAGAAAAGATTTCCCAAGTGTAATTTGTATCGAAATCCCCAAATACCTAAATATAATAAAGCTTATTTTATTTTGGATTTGGATTCGAAACTCCAATCTCCAAGTCATGTTCCTTTTAATAAATAATTTAAACTTAAATAGTAACCCCAAGTCGATATTTCAGCCAGAAAATTCTGGATGAACCTTATTTTAAGTGAATAATTATTGGCAAGGAATTATTATTTTAAAATATTACTTTATTTATAACAATAAATGCGAGTTATACTAAGTTTCTTTGTCCGCCTGGCAAATAAAATAAACGGCATCTGTTTTACAATCTATGTCACTCATTTTGCCTTTATACAAATAGATGCAGTTCTGCTCATGGTTTGTGTCGTCTGGTTCTCCCCGAGCCCACTTTAAAAATGGTGCTGGCTTTTGTGAGGCCACAGATACGAAGTGGCCCTCTTTATCGCGATCATTAATGCCTAGCCAATAGGCTTTCCTATCTGTAAGTATTTGTGTAATGGCCCTGATTTCATCTTCATTTCGAAAGGAGGCTAAGTACCCTCCCATCTCACGACACCTTCTCTCAGCAGTCTCCCAATTCTCTGTTATGTCTTCTATTAGAAAATACCTAGAACCGATTAGGCTGAATCCAGATGGAATAGTAGTCGTGGATGAAGCCGGGACTGCCACCTTTGAATCATCTATTTTGTTCGACACTGCCTGCAGTTGATTTACAACCGCCTGAAGTTGGGTTTCAATCATTTTTGGTACCGCAAGGAGACTTTCATCCATTTTAGCCTCCAGTTTGGTTAGCACCTCCTGAAGCTGTCCTTCCAGACCTTGTAGTCGTCTTTCCAGCTTATTTTCCACTCCTTGTAGTTGTCCTTCCAGCTTGGCATGCACCTCCTGAGGAAACTTGGCCCGCACTTCCCCAATTTTTACCTCCAATGTCTCCAGCTTCGATTTGATTTCGTTGTCAGATTCACGGGTGTTCGTATTCCCTTGGTTCTGGGTCTGCACGACGTCGTTTAACACAGATCGTAGTTCAGGGACACAAATGCTATCGGACTGATTGGTACTCATATCGTCTAATTGGAACATATAGCCACCCCGAAGGCTCGTCGCCAAGGATCCTTTCCATAGAGTGCAGGCAGCCAGCGCCCAAAGGAAGATGGTACCGAAGCTTTGCATCCTTTTACTGGTAGATTGCAAGACTGTGGAAGTTGAAAGTCTCTGGTGAACTGATTCCAGAATTGTTCGAAGACTTTCGAAGAGCCTTCTGGCTTCGGATGGGATTGATAAAGGCTTTATATGGTATATAGATAAATATATCAAGCGGACGGCACTCCCTGTGCTCGTGATGGTATATGTAAAATATTTATCGACTTCTGTAGAAGGAGTTTATAGTATATATAAAATATTATACACTACAAGAAATAATCATTGATTAAGACATTATTTAAGCCGCGTGGCGTAAATCAAGGGTTCATGGGTAAAGTTGAAAATCTCTATACACTGCAAAAAATGCCCAGCTGTGCTAATATTTGGCCCAAAAGGTTATGTGAAATGAAAAACTGCTATCCTAGATAATATTTTCCAAGTGTAATTTGTACCCAAAAACCTAAATACCCATTTAAAATAATACCTATTTTCTCTTTATTTAGACAAGATTATAATATTTAATCTCAAAGTTCATTATTCAAGAAGTCAGTTGAATTCAAAATACCGAATTCCAAGCCATATTTCCTTTTTAAATAATAAAATAATATAAAAAAGTGTCCAATGACATTTAATTAAATTAATGAAGATAATAATAATTTAAAATAAGACAATTTATTGCTTTTCAGTAGTTATGAACGTTGATTTAAGGTGCTAATTTGCAAATTATTAAATAATTAGTTTTAAGTCGACACTTGACAGAAAAAAATTGAATCAGGCTGAATGTGAATTGAATCATGGTTGAATGTGAAGTCTCGTATCAACGGATTCTCTGAATCCCGCGATGGCTTCCGAAGAAGCATCCGGTCCAAGTTGGCTTTGATAAGAGCTATTTATAACGATGACCGTACTCTCTGCGTGCTCGATCATATATATTTCCCAAGGAGGAGTACCTACAGGGTGCGCCATCTTTTATGTCGGTATGTAAACATTGAATATCTTTGAAAATAAACAACCGATTTTCAAGTATGAGACATTTTTATTTAATTTGGTTTTTTGGAATTTCTGCAGAGTAATTTTTGAAAACAATATCCATCAAGTGACCGATTTTATTGGACACACAAAATGTGCCCTTTTTGCTGCATTTCCATTACATTTTTAGCATCTGAGGTGGTATAGCGATGATTTCTGCACGAATATAAGCAATGATCTCGTCAATGGTTTGAGGCTTGCTGATGTAAACAAATATCCCCATAAAAAGAAGTCCGGAGGTGTGAAATCTGGAAATCTGGGTCCGATCAGTTTAGCCTTTTTTGAGTTTTTTGAGTCAACACCACTGAAGGACTATTTTTAATGTAATGCGTCACTATTTCAGCGAGTTCTTTTTGAGTAAATCGATCCATGATTAAAATACTGCTGAAGTGAGCTATTCGTGAGTGAGTTATTCGATATTTAAGGGGGGACATCTGAGTAACTTTTTTTAAAATCGAAAAAATTTTTTTTTGCTTAAAAAATTCTTTAGGGTCATAAAAATAACATACCAAAAGATAGAGTCCGGCAAATGTGTCTAAGTGTCGAAATTTTCCATTCTGCGGCGATGCCTCTCATGTAAATATATACGATTTTAAAACTTTAAACGCGTTTTTCTCAAAACCACTTTTTTTGAGTTGGCCGAAAACCTAGCTCGAACAAATCTTAACCGATCGATCTGAAATTTTGACAGTATATTCAAAATACCTATGGCTATCGACACACGTAGGATACTTACTTACTTACTTACTTACTTACTTTTTTTTTTTATCAAGAATTTTGTGACGTTTTATTTTCATGAAAATTGAACATTTTATTTAATCACTCACCATTTTGCTAAAAATCAAAATATCGAAAAAATCCTACGTGTGTCGATAGCGGTTGAGATACAGAAACTAACAAAATTTAATTTTTTGTTCTAGATTAAAAATTACGGACGTTAGGTTTCCGGCCATGGACTCCTTTCAAAAAAATAGGGCCTACGAAGAAATGCTGCACAGCCGCCATTTTGTTTTCGATTAATTAAAAAAAATTTTTGTTTTGTAGTTCAGATCTAACATTATAAAACCTACTTTAAAATTTTTCGATTTGCTTTTTCATTTGGCCAAAAAAAAATTCTTGAAAATCGGCTTTTTTTTGGCCAGTTACTCAGATGTCCCCCCTTAAATACCGACATAAAAGATGGCGCACCTCGTATATCTCAAAGTAGATGCACATATCTATATATCTTTATACCCTTGCAGGGTATTATAATTTCAGTCAGAAGTTTGCAACGCAGTGAAGGAGACGTTTCCGACCCTATAAAGTATATATATTCTTGATCAGCATCAACAGCCGAGTCGATCTAGCCATGTCCGTCTGTCCGTCCGTCTGTCTGTTTCTACGCAAACTAGTCCCTCAGTTTTAAAGCTATCTGAATGAAACTTTGCATATAGTCTTCTATATGCTCTCACTGCTATATATGTCGGAACGGGCCAGATCGGACGACTATATCATATAGCTGCCATACAAATGTTCGATATATTTGTAGCAAAAAAATTATAACTTTGCTGTTTTTCAACATTTTTGCACCATTTTTTAGATATGTCCATTTTATATTATTTCAGAATTTTGGTAAAAATTCTATGAAAATCGGACGACTATATGATATAGTTGCCATTGGAACGGTCGAGAAATAAATACTTGTATATCACATGTTATCTTGAAAAGCTCAAAATACACACAAATTCGAAGAAACTCCCATCATATTTTGAAGATACTTTCTCTATACGCCGATTTAACCCGTTGCAAGCGGGGAGAAATATTTCTTCCACCCCTTCGGATGTAACTTAATACACAAAAAAAAAAGAATAGTTAATAATTTGTATTTAAATACATTTTTGCACAATGCCAGATATGTTCTCAACCTAAGCCAGTCTTCCGTTTTTGAGACTGGCCCTCGAAAGATGTGTCGAGACCACATGGAAGAATGACACAAGTGGAAATAAAAACCTTGCGGTAATAGAGAAGATGGCAGAGGACTCAGCTTCATTCCAAAATGGCTAATTATTTTTATGGGAAGACAAATATAAGAAAAAAAATAAACAAACAATAAAAAAAAAAATACATTTTAAAATATTTTTTTATAGCCTTTTAGGAAGACGAAACATTCATATAAATCAAAATCAATATTTACAAATCAATGAAAATAAAACCAAAGTAACTGAAATAACTCTTTCACCAAAACGAAATTTAACCTGGTTAAAATGGGATATACATATTTCTAAAAAAAGGGATCCTTATTTAACGTTAAGTTCTAAACCAAGTCAACAATTCTTATAGTCTATTTAAAGGATGCGTTATTGCGTTAACACGGCAAATGTAGTTTATATTACATAGGCGGTAACAACTGATTTTGGATCAAAATGATAACGTGCCCTCCATTTTCGGACTATCCAAATTTCAATTTGGTTTCCGCCTGCAGCACAGTACTTCTGTGCAACAGCTTGGAGTGGTTAACTTAGCTTTAGAAGCCTTGGAGAAGAAAGAATATGCTGTAGCTGCCTTCCTGGACATTCAACAGGCATTTGACAGAGTCTGGCACCCTGGGCTGCTGTACAAATCAAAGCGACTCTTCCCGCCTCAACTGTACCTATTCGTAAAAAGTTTTCTGCAATAACCCACATTCCGCGTATCGGCTGATAGGTATATTTAATCAAGTATCAAGACAATTGAGGCTGGAGTTCCGCAAGGAAGTGTTCTAGGACCTAGTCTCTATTTGGACTTTGCTTCGGACATGTCTAGTCACTCACCAGTCACTGAAATTGCGGAAGGAGATGTGCTAATGTTACATATGTATGCTGATGACACTGCCGTGCTTGCGAAAAGTAAAAGTATCTTGTCTGCTTCCTTTGGCTTGCAGAAATATCTGGATGCCTTTCAGGAATGGGCTGTGAATTGGAATGTGCGCATCAATGTTGACAAATGCGCGAATAAAAAAAAATAAAATGAACAATTTGATATAAATACAGGCAAATTAAATAATGAAATATTCAGATGGGGTAATCGGGAGGGACTGCAAGTGGCGCTCTAAAGAGGCGTCGAACCACTCGATAAACTTGTGGATGTGAAAAAAAACAACTGACTGTGATGGAGAGTACTAGCTATTTTGGAAGATAGAAACGACAATAAAAATAAATTAAAAAAAAAAAATAAATAATGATAAAATTAGAGTGTTTTCAGATTAAAAAAATGTTGACCCAACGCTTGCCTAATGCTTTTAAACAGGTTGTTCCATTTGCCTTTTCATACCCTTGCAGGGTATTATAATTTCAGTCAGAAGTTTGCAACGCAGTGAAGGAGACGTTTCCGACCCTATAAAGTATATATATTCTTGATCAGCATTAACAGCCAAGTCGATCTAGCCATGTCCGTCTGTCCGTCTGTCCGTCCGTCCGTCTGTCCGTTTCTACGCAAACTAGTCCCTCAGTTTTAAAGCTATCTGAATGAAACTTTGCATATAGTCTTCTATATACTCTCACTGCTATATATGTCGGAACGGGCCGGATCGGACGACTATATCATATAGCTGCCATACAAATGTTCGATAAATTTTTAGAAAAAAAATTTTAACTTGGCTGTTTTTCAATATTATTCCATCATTTTTGAGATATAGCCATTTTATATTATTCCAGAATTTTGGTAAAAATTTTATGAAAATCGGACCACTATATCTTATAGCTGCCATAGGAACGATCGGGAAATTAATCAAAAAAATTATAACTTCGTTGTTTTTCAACGTATTTTAATCTACTTTGACATATGAGCTTCTGGTATTATTTCAAAATTTTGGTAAAAATTTTATGAAAATCGGACGACTATATCTTATAGCTGCCATAGGAACGATAGGGAAAGTAATAGAAAAAATTATAACTTCGTTGTTTTTCAACGTATTTTCATCTACTCTGAGATATGAGCTTTACTTATTATTATAGAATTTTGGTATACATTTTATGAAAGTCGGACAACTATATCATATAGCAGCCATAGAAGCGATCCGCAGATGTAGAGAAAATGTAAAGCTGGGAATGTATAACTGTAACTGTCAAACTGTAAACATAATAAGTATAGGTAAAATGGTATGTAACTCAGTTTAGTGTCTGTTTTCGGCATTATAATTTATGACATAAATATGAAAACCAATCTGCAAGGGTATACAAACTTCGGCGTGCCGAAGTTAGCTTCCTTTCTTGTTAAAAACTAAAATAGCTGCTGTTTTGACTTTTACATGGAAATAAAATTACGTTTTGTGTGGAAAAAAAAGTAAAACCCGGAGCAGCTAAAAAAAATCACAAAACAACAATTTTGTGATACAAAACAAAAACGAAAACAAAAAAGTGAAAACAGGAGAATACCTGATAATATTTTTAATAAAATAAAGAAAAAACCTCTGCACTGGTCAACGTCTTGAAAGTGAATGAGTTCTTTGCTTTGTTGAAATAGTACTGCAAACCAATATGGAAAGTCAAGACCTACTCAATAGCTTTTTACCAACTTGCTCATCTAATTGGAATTATTTTTTTTTTCCAAATTGTTTAACCCTTTTTATACCCTTGCAGGGTATTATAATTTCAGTCAGAAGTTTGCAACGCAGTGAAGGAGACCTTTCCGACCCTATAAAGTATATATATTCTTGATCAGTATCAACAGCCGAGTCGATCTAGCCATGTCCGTCTGTCCGTCTGTCCATCCGTCCGTCTGTCCGTTTCTACGCAAACTAGTCCCTCAGTTTTAAAGCTATCTGAATGAAACTTTGCATATAGTCTTCTATATGCTTTCACTGCTATATATGTCGGAACGGGCCGGATCGGACGACTATATCATATAGCTGCCATACAAATGTTCGATATATTTGTAGAAAAAAATTTATAACTTTGCTGTTTTTCAACATTTTTGCACCATTTTTTAGATATGGCCATTCTATATTATTTCAGAATTTTGGTAAAAATTTTTATCAAAATCTGACGACTATATGATATAGCTGCCATAGGATCGGTCGAGAAATAAATAGGAAAAAAAATTATAGTTTCGTTGTTTTTCAACGTATGTTTATCTACTCTGAGATATAATCTTTTTTTATTATTCTAGAATTATGGTATAAATTTCATAAAAATCGGACAACTATATCATATAGCTGCCATATAAACCGATCGGTAGATGTAGAGAAAATGTAAAACTGGGAATGTAAAACTGTAACTGTCAAACTGTAAACATAATAAGTATGGGTAAAATGTAATGAAACTCTGTTTTGTGAGTGTTTTCAGCATTTAAATCTATAACAGCGATGGGCACGAGATCTAACGGTTTGAGCAGCAGCTCGCTAAAAAAAAAAAAAACAACAACCCCCAGCGTTGCGAACCGTCGCACCCACGCGACACACAGAATGTGCGAGCCGAGAAAATACACTGACAAAAACTTTTTGAGTAGATCAATATCTTCAGCCATTTTTACGTGCATTTATGTCCGCCTAAGAAAAACGACTGCAAAAGAAATCCAAACTTTTTTCTTTAGTGCAGAAGACAACGCTATCCGCACAGTTCCCTTTAAAATTGTTCTTGTTTTTGGGACGATGTGCGAGTTCGGTCGCTTGTGTTTTGTTGTTGCAAACTCGGGATCGCGGGGATGTCCTCGCTACCTGCGCCAAAGGTCAGTGTGGTTGTTTTTGTAAATCTTCACGGTTCGCTGATCGCGAGCACTGCACTTGTGCGTCTGCAATTGTGCGACATGCTGGCGCCTCCGAAAAAAGATAACGGTTTGAGCAGCGTGAGCAAATTGAGCCACGGCGTGCCCATCGCTGATCTATAATATAAACATCGAAACCAATCTGCAAGGGTATACAAACTTCGGCGTGCCGAAGTTAGCTTCCTTTCTTGTTTGTATTTCGTTTCTAAGAAGGTAAGAAAGTGTTGGTTCATTGAAAGATTACTTTATTTACATATACCAGGTGTAATTGTACTCTTTATTTGTTTATAAATTTAAATACAATAAGTGTTTAATTTTCTGCTTCTATAATGACTCTAATAAGAATTACGAGTTTTTAAGGCAGAGCATTATACATTATATTTATGTTAATTCATGAAATTGGCATAATTATGCTTCGATGGATGAATCCAATTCACACGCCAGCTTCAAGAATATAATAAAAAATACAACAAATAATATTTAATGGAGATTAAAATAAATAATGCTTAACAAGCTGAACTCTTTTTCCAACCTTATCTGGTAATTTTCAAGCCATCAAGTCCTGTTCAGATAAAGCTGTAATGGCTCCATTGGAGCCTCCTGTAAATATATGCAGTCAAGTGATTATATACACATTTACATATGCATCTGGGCAAAGTTTTTCAGGCTGCTCTGATGCCGCCTCGGCAAAGCTAACTGCTGCGCTTAACAAGAACTCTTTACGCCATGTTGCACATTTTGCGAATTGCGAGTGTTGCCAAGTTCAAATGGCTGTGAAAATGCACACGCTTTCCACCAGCAAGGACACCCTATCCTCGCCTTCCCGGAACAGCAGCAGCATCAGCAGCACCAGCAGCCATTTGATAGACATCACTAGCACTATATAGCCACCTAATGTCGCACGTGTTGCTAGTACCCAAACTTGACAAATAAAATGCACCAACTTTAGCCGCAAGCGAGACTATTTATATGTCGTTATGTGCACAACAGAGAATATATGGATTTCATATTTGGATATCTAGGAGAGCTCCACAAAACGCACCTCGGCCAGGCAGTGTAGGGCAAACAGGCGGCTTTGGGCCGCCATTATTAAGCCAGGATACATTTGATCCTCAACAATGATCATAGCCCGGACGGTCGTTTCTGCTTTGCGCCGCAGTCCTCGTCGTTTTCCCTTTCCGATCATCTTAGTCATAGGTGTTGTTGTCCTTGAAAAAATGTAATTATTTAAACTTATTCAATGAAAGCTTTTATCTTCTTTGCAGGCAGACCTTTAAAAAATTTACAAAAATTTGTTCTAGAAATATAAACTTCTTGGTATATTTCTCAATGAAACCCGAGGCCTTGATAGGGAAGACAAGGACTACTAGCTTAGGGAAGTCAGAACTATTTAGTTTCTTAAAAGGGTTGTTATTATTTAGACATTTTCTGGTAACGCTTTATAATTTTTTGTTTAAGCTTATAAATTAAATGCTATAGAATTTCTTTAATGTCATGCTTGGCTTGCATCCTGTATGATTAATATGTATAATCCTGACTTTATTCCATATTAATCATACGCAGTGTGGTTATAGCATAACTCAGAGAAGCTCTCTAAGTTGTATTAAATTTATCACTTAATTGTTTTTGATCTAAATTAAAAGTATATACATAAAAGGTAATCCTTAAATTTAGTTTAATATTTTCAAACCTTGGGGAAAACATAGCAATTTCCCCGCCATTGGTTTATTCTCCTGGACTTCTCCTGCTCAGATGACAATCGGTTAATTTGGGACCCTTTATACAGCGCAATCGCAAAGAGAGAGCGTAGAGAGAGTGAGAGAGTCAGGACCATTTTGGGCTGAGAGAAAAGCTCGTCTGTGGAAAATGCAACTAATTTTAATCAAAACATGTTTGCCCGCTCTTAGCCCCTTCCTGACCCCTTCAGCCATTTGATGGTCCCAGTCCTACCTTCGGCTGATGTTTGTTTCCATTCGAAGATTTCCATAGGAGAGAACATTTGATTGAATTGTTATTGTTACGAGAGCTGCCTGCCTGTGACTATGCTGTTGTTTGTGCAGATTTGTACCTAGCCTGTTTCCACGTCCTATTCTTCACCTGCTCCTCTGTTTTTCCGTTTTTCCGATGTTCCGTCATTGCCTTCGTTTGGGCTTTTCCATTGCCATTTGGAAAAGTGCACATTTGAGGCTGCGGCTTGTGTTTGCGTTTGTTTTGTGTGGAAATAACCATAGTTTTTGTACGTGAGTTGATTTTTGTGCATCTGGGGTTGGTGGTCAGGCGAATTGGTCTAGTTTTTGGTTGAGTAGCCATCGCCGTGTGCAACCCGAACTGCGACCATGACCTATTTTTGCCTCTTCTTCTCATTCACTCACTATGACTTCAATTGTGACACATTGAAGCGAATTTAAACTGGCTGTTATTCAAAGTCTATTTGCATATTATGGCCTTCGCTCGCACATACACACACCCTGGCAGACGTCATTTCCATATGTCAGTCATACCCTGACACCATCGGGTTCTGCAACTGCACTGAGGAAATTTCTTGGGTATTTTTGGTAGAATATTAATTACAAGGCTGGAGCCTAATTATGGGTCTATGTTTATAAATACGAATTAAAAGTGTTTAAATTATGTACTGATAAGTGGGTACGTTAAGTAAGACAGTATGTATGACAGGACCATTAAAATGCATTATTTACTTTTGTGTATTTATATCAGGGACCGTATAAAAGATTATTTTTGCATGGGTATTATAATTTCAGTCAGAAGTTTGCAAAGCAGGAGATCTTTCCGACCCTATAAAGTATATATATTCCTGATTAGCACCAACAGCCCAGTTGATCTAGCCATGTCCGTCTGTCCGTTTGCTCGTCTGTCCGTTTTAACACAAACTAGTGCCTCAGTTTTAAAGGTATCTGAATGAATCTTTGCATACAGTATTATGAATACTCTCATGACTATACATATCATATATCTGCCATAGAAGGGATCGAAGTATAACTTCGTTGTTTTTCAACGAATTTTCATCTTCTTTGAGATATGGTAATATTTTATTATTTCGAAATTTCGGTTTAGGAACCGATCGCAAGATGTGGGGAAAAATGTAAATTTAAAACTGTAACTCTGTAACTGTAAATTTGTGTTTAATATATATTTAATTGAAAACTGCAATCGTATATAAAGTTCGGCAAGTCAAACTTAGATTATTAATATTCATTGTAGTTTTTAATAAGCAAATTGTATTATCAAACATGCTTATGATATTTTTCAATGTAGAGTTATACATATTTTATATATTTTATATTTCTACATGCAGCGAACTAAGCTCAAAGGAGCGTCACACGTGTAATTGACGTAATTAGCTGGCTTTACTTGCATATGTGCGACATATGTGTATGTCAGTTACAGAATGGACTGTGTATCTTGATTACTCAAGCATAAATCAATTTAAAAACAGCAACGTGGAATACCTTAAAGAGTTTAAGTTATTATAAAGGTAGGTATTTAGCTTTATCTATTTTTAGAAAAAGAGTACTTCCTCATGATCTATTGTTTTCTGTGGCATTTTAAGGAGCTAGCCAGCGGGAACACTTCTTGCGATGCAATCTTGAGCCTTTAAATTTCAAGTTATCCTCGCTGAGCGCACCTGCAGCGAAATTGGTGGAATGAAACATTTTGCAGGCATGTTGTCGACATTTTTATGGCTGCCTCGTTCCAGCTTCCTTACGGCCCTCGCTCTCGGTCTCTGTCTCTCGCAGGTTACCCCTGCGGACTCTGCCTGGCAGCCACTTGGCTGCCCAATTAAAAGTTTTAGCACATTTTCACTTGAAATTAATTGTCGGTAAACGTAATTCATGTCCGAGAGGGAGCTCGGCAAAGCACGAGACGCACAACACGGGACTGGCAAATGTGGCCGAATGCAAGCGGCATCCATAAGACAGACACGGGTATTCGGGGCTTGTGCTACTTTGTAGTTGCCTGACTTGGCTAGCTGTTGCATACTTATGGACGCTAATGCCGGGACATTTCACCAAACTTCCCAATTTCGAAGGTAACCAGCAGGAAAACAACATCTCAAGTCGCTGGAGCTTGTCATTGCAGGAATTAAGATAGGAAAATTAAAGCTGTTAAATATTTTTTTGTAATTTTAGTTACAAGAAAATTGTCGGCAAAGTTTATTGACTTGCTTTCAATAGGCTCTTTTGAATAACGGATAGTTAAGTCTGTAATCTCAAAGAAAATTAGGTTAGTTTTTTTACAATGTAAAATTTAGAGGCCCAATTCTTGATACATTTTTAAGAGGTTATGATTAGTTTTTAAATAATATTTATTCAAGTTTTTCCTCGTACTCATTTAATATAAATTTTTAATTAATCATTATCATTATTTCTCTGTTATCTAGAGTTCTCGTATGCTTTGGAAATAGAAAATTTTCTATAAACACCAGAAAACATCATTAAACTGAAACTATATAAATCATCCTGGGCTGGCGGAGAGCAGTCGTGGAGGTTCCCTGGCTATTTGGCCCGCTTCCAGTCGTGGCCATAAATAACGCTGCACCGCCATTTAGGTGGGAACAAAATGAGAATTTTCAATTAAGTCAAAGGCCCCTGTCGATGGCATAGCCATGTCATTAGCAGGTAAAAGGCAATGCAGCGGCAGAAGCTGGAAAGGCGAGCAGTGCTGGACGTACTGGACATAAATTAAAATCGAAGCCGGGGGCCAATTTTATGTCCGTTTAATGGCCGTCCTCGGCAGGTATGTGCGCTGTGGTGTGGTCATAAAATGTCATGAAATGACTCGGGTCTATGTTTAAATAATGCCAACACAATTTTATTGAGAATCTACCGCTGGCAGGTGAAAATCGGTTGGGGCTCCTGGCCGCACCTAATTGACAATTCAAAATGTTTCGGGCGGCCAAGTGGAGCTGGTCATAAAGTTAATAAGCAATTTGCATAACAAATTGTCTAAAACGCTGGCAACATGTCGCATTGTGGCATTGCCGAGTGTGGGAATCCGAATGGCTGCCAATGTCCCAGCTAATTTTCCATGCACTGCGTTGCGTATACGCAGTGTGGGCCTGCCCGACCATCCCTAGGGCAGTCCCGGGAATGCATTTAATTGTTTCGAACTAGGGGATACCGACATCCCTTCCACCCACTTTTCTGAACCCCTTTGGGCATCCCCTTTCGGCCATGACACTTATTCGCTTCGGATTTTTGCAAATGTGCCTGGTGCTCGTAATTTATTCTCGGCCTGTTAATTAGCGCGACAACTTGCGAGCGTGGTGATTTGGATGCATAATTAATCGACAGCGGCAATACCCTCTAGGACAGGATTAGAAAGGAGCTTAAGCCAAGTGGGTCTTTTAAGGTCAAGGGTTTGTTTTCTCAATTTGATATAATTTAAACCTCAATTTTCATCCGCCTCCCCAGAAGCACCAGAGATGATATATAAATAGCCCCGATAGAGTACAGTTTCCTATTGTAATTTCCTAGATTTTCCTTCCGTTGGCCAAGCCTCTTGGGCTTCCTGGCGGCGCAGTTGCCCCTTCCTGTCCAGGGTATCTGAATAACATGGTTATGGGTGCATTTAGTGGACTTTCCACTGCAATTAGCCAGTGTCAATTGTTCATGCCACCGTGGGGGTGTGTGTGAGCTTGTGTCCTTGTGTGGGTGGGACATTAGTGGATTGTTTTTTTCACCTACGCATGCAAAATAAGCCCATATGCATATACATACACACGATGGCGTATAAGTTTGTATGTATATGTGGCGGAGAACTGAGCTAACTGCCATTTGCAGCTGTTTCTATTTCCGTTCACTGGCCACAAAGCTGCATCTCCTCCGCCTCCTGTCCATCCGTCAGTCGCTTCGTCCGTTCCATTTTCCCCCCCGGGGCACTACATCATTTGTAATTTGATGGCAGGCTCAGGGAGGCAGCTGGCAAGGAACTGGGCCTCAAAGTATGCAACACAATTGCGGCCAGGGCCATTATAATTGCAAACGCACACACACACACTCATCAAGCAGGACGTGCATGCTCAAATCCCATACCAGCAGCGGCGGCCATCGGAGATAGAATTGCTGTTAGCAGTTGCATTTTGCCTTGTGCTTTGTTATAATTAAATGATTATCAATTTGGCAAATATTTGATGGGTTCCAGCTTTGGCTGTGTGGAAGCAATCAGGCGTAAATTGATCCCAACCAGCACACAGATGAGTGACCAAATCGAGAAGTCCCAAGTCTAATAGCCTAAGGATCATAATGCGGAATAAGCACACATTTTATGCATGACTTGAACTGTTCGTTCGCTAATTAGGTGTATGGCTTTAATAGCTAATTAGGAAGTATCCTGTATCTCTAGTGCGTTATCTCTGGAGTACCTTTATCTTGGAGTACCTTATTCCAATTGCAAAGACTGTTCGAGTATAATATAGAGACACAACGAGAGAGATAGGTCACACAATGGAATTTTGAGAGGCAAAATGTCAAACTTTCTTTAAGATATTAAATCTAAAATAAAATAGGTCATTGTTTTCCCTACTCCGCTAGTAAATCAATCAATGAAGACACCGATCGGCTTATTTATTCCAGCGTTTTAGCATGTGTAATCATGATAGCTTATCTAATACTTTTCGGCACTTCTCGAGAGTTCATACTTTAGATTTACGAGTGCGAATTAACATTTAAGTGACTTCCGTTGGTCAACCGATAAGGCAACTCTATAAAGAGGCAGAGCCAGACATCGAACGACAGTAGTTCTCTACTAGACCAACATGAAGTTCCTCGTATTCCTCGCCTGCTTGGCTGTGGCCACAGCCAGCGTTGTGCCCTCCATGCCCGCCGGCAAGGCGGTGCCCGTGAAGGATATGCCACGCGCTGGCAAGATCGATGGCCGCATCACCAACGGCTACCCGGCGTACGAGGGCAAGGTGCCCTACATCGTGGGCCTGAGCTTCAACGACGGCACCCACTGGTGCAGTGGCTCTATCATTGGCCACACATGGGTCCTGACTGCCGCCCACTGCACGAACACCGCCAACCACGTGCTGATCTACTTCGGTGCCAGCTTCCGCCACGAGGCCCAGTACACCCACTGGGTGAGCCGCAGCGACATGATCCAGCATCCCGACTGGAACGACTTCCTGAACAACGACATCGCCCTCATCCGCATCCCGCACGTGGACTTCTGGAGCCTGGTCAACAAGGTGGAGCTGCCCAGCTACAACGATCGCTACAACAGCTTCTCCGGCTGGTGGGCTGTCGCCTCCGGCTGGGGTCTGACCGACAACAACAGCGGCATGTCCAACTACCTAAACTGCGTGGATGTCCAGATCATGGACAACAACGACTGCCGAAACTACTACGGCGGCAACTACGTCACGGACAACACCATCTGCATCAATACTGATGGCGGGCGCTCCTCCTGCAGCGGTGACTCTGGCGGCCCCCTGGTCCTCCATGAGGGCAATCGCATCGTGGGCATCGTTTCCTTCGGCAGCGGAGAGGGATGCACTGCTGGCAGGCCCGCCGGTTTCACCCGTGTCACCGGTTACCTCGACTGGATCCGAGACCACACCGGCATTTCTTACTAAATTGGTATGAAGAAAATAAATAAAATGAAGCATTTTTAAACAAAGAATTAAGAGAAATGATAGCTAAGTGTTAAAATATAGATTGAAGTTGGATGAAGACTTTAGAATGCATTCAATAAGAATATCAGTGGGGTTCATTCTTTCATTCATTCTTTTGAGGAATTCAAAGTCTTTTAATTGATTAATTAGCTTGTTAGTTGTTGTAGTTTCAAGTTGAGCATTTAAGATTAGGAATCGGAAATCTTAAATCAATACTCGATTAAGGCTAACCGATAAGCAAACCAAACCCCTTAACTTCGTAGCGATAAGATGTCAACCCCTTTGCATTTGATTACCATAACTAGATTTATGAGGAGCTATCAAAGCCAAATAAAACAAGTCAAGTGAGACCAACTGTGAGGTACCCGATACCCAAAATCAAAAGGAGCAATGAAATAACTATAATATTGCTATACTTTTTGAAAATTTCCAATTAAACAGATCGAAAGGCAAAAGAAAATGTTGACAATTGCTAGGAAGATGTTGCGCTACACCAAAATAAATTCAAATGTTGCTAGGAAAATGTTGAGCAATGGACAAACAGACTACCTACTGGTATATCGACTCGTCTGGTGATGCTTTATGGAATAAACAAGGATCCTTCTGCTTGTTACAAATGTTTTCAATTGGCACTATGGTATAATATTTTTTTACCCTATAGCTGTATAAACATAGATGCATTCAAGACTTTAATTTATTTGTTTCTCTTTATTTCATTTGTTTATAATTAGAGCCACATTAATTTCAGTTGCCATTGTAATCCCTAAGAAATTGGAGTAACAAAATCAATACGTAACGCCGAAAGCCGTAAAAAGAGCCAATAAATTACAGTGCCGTAAAACAAAACAGAAACTGCTCGAGCAGTTTACTTGAAAAATGAGTTTTTAGTGCAAGGACTCGCGAGGAGTAGGAGCAAAATCAATTCGCTGAGCCATTTGGCCGGCTCAGCGTGTAATTTCTCGATTTTCGGGCATGCCCAGTCTCTCGCTATATTGCTCCTGTTGTTCTGGTTAATTTGGTTCTATATACAGACACACAGGAAAAAATCCAGGTCTGTATAGAAGTATTCTAGGTAAAATTTTCGAAGAAATTTATTAAAGAAACCTTAATTTGAAATATATTACATAGAATATCAAAGTATTAAAAAGACTAAATTTGAATTTAAATACTAACTGTACATTGTTTTCTGGGTGAAACTTCGAGGGGCAAACTCATCGGGCAGGGAGTGTCAAATGGAGGTTGTCTAGGACTTGACTATTTATAAGCTGCCGGCACGAAGACTCTTCGCCCGCGTCGTCCTGCTCGTGTTTCCTGCCTCGGTGTTCCTTTGTTCCCGAGGATTGCAATAAATCGAGTGACTGCTGGAGGTATGCGTTCGAGTTAAGTGCCTGGATGGAGAATTATCCCGGCGCTTAACTGGAAAGTGGCACGGATAAATGGCTCCTACCCAGTGGATATACGATAGCAGATAATGCTGTTTAATGATAAGACTTTCCAACAAACAAGGAGAAAGGACGAGTTCTCAAGGGGAGGTATTATTTATAGAAATAAAGGTACTGATAAATTACGCTTAGAAAAACGTTTTTTTGTTTATTAAAGCTCCTCAGAAATTACAACGTTATGCCGAGTCCCTTGATCTTTTCATCGAGCCAGCCACGCAGGTAGGGCACATTGGCGTACACGGCCGGAATGTCATCTTCGGCACACTCCACGCCCCAGGAGACGATGCCCACCAACTGGTAGCGGTCCCTCTCGCCTGGCATCGTGCAGAAGAGCGGGGAGCCGCCGTCTCCCTTGCATGTGTCCTTGCCAGGATCGCCGCCGGCACAGATAAAGCTAGGGCGGAGCCGGAATCGGCTCTCCAGCCTCGTGAGGCGCAGCTTCGCCTGGCACTCGCTATGCTCCACAAGCGGCAGATTAATCCGCTTGAGTACCTGCTCCAGCTTGTCACTCTTGGCATCCTTGGAGCCCCATCCCGTGGCGAAGCAGTTGGAGGATAGCAGCTGGCTAATCAGCTGCGGCGTCTGAGGAGGCGGGAGGCAGAGTGGCTGAATATGTGGAGCCAGCTGAACGGGTTCCTCCAGCAGCAGCAGGGCGATGTCGTTGAAGAACACATCGGGGTCGAACTCGGGATGCATGATGATCTCCTTGATGCGCCGACTCTGGTGGATGTACGGCTCGTTTACACTGTTCAAATCCCACTCGCCTAGCCGGGCCACCAGGGTGTCCACCGTCTCATTGACCACATTGTGCGAGCTGGTGACCACCAGCTGAGGATGGATGAGCGTTCCGCCGCATAGGAACTTTTGCCGCCCGGTGAAGATTCCCACCATCCAGGGGAATTGGCCGAAAATGGACACGTCCTCCTCATAGTTGAACTTGTCTTCGTCGGGAATCAGGCCCTTCGGGTTGCTCCAGCCGCAGCTCGTGTACTTGAAGTCCTTCTGCTTCTGCACATAAGGACTTTCGCTGTCGTCCACCTAAAAAAAAGATTATTAGTCTGGGCATCTCTACCGAAGTTACTCCATTTTTATGAACTCACCTTCTGGCTAACCTCACAGCAGCGGTAAAGGGATTTGGAACACTGGGTGTTGCCGAGCCTGGGATTGATAAGGGTGATCCCCGAGTCGTTGATGACGTTGTCCCGGCACAGCTTGCGCGGCACGCATTCCATGTTCAAGCCGCAGCTCTCATTGGGCTCAGGTTCTGGGACCCGGCTCACTTTGTCCCGAATCGAGTTAGTGGCGTCCCAGCTCTCGAGCTGCTCCTTCTCGCAACACATCAAGCTAACACCGCAGGAGCGGGCTATCCGCGGACTAATGCGCTTCCGGCCGGCGTTATCCGATTCCTGGCAGCGCTTCACTGTTGTACAGAGCTCGCTCTGTTGGCACATCGACGAAGAAAAGTCCTGGGCTCGGGAAAAGTCGCTCTCCAGGAGGATCAGTAGGAGGAACACTGCTGAAGTAAATGGTGTTGTTCTACTTGCCATGGTTGGTCGAGCACTGGCGGAGCAAAGAGCAGATGGAATAGAGAACACACAGTTAGAGATAAGAGGCATCCTAATCTCGGGCAATGCACCAGCAAAGGTTATCATCAAATATTGCATTTTATTTTTTATTTTGTACACATATAGTTCAGATCACTCACAAAACCATAAAGCTAGGGTGGGTTTTCAGTTTAATTTTAAGTATTTATAAAATGTAAAATTTATCAAATGGACTTTACTTGTTCACCTACAACAAGTATTTGTATTATTTAAAATTTATTTTATATCGCATTTTTACGTAATATCCAACAAAAATAATTCATTAAATTTGATGACACTTCGAATCGTATATAGCCTTGTTCACGCTTGAGGTTTAAGTTTATATATTTGGCTTTTACGAAAACGTATTATTCTTTCGTATTATTCTTTCCATCCATTGTTCTCCTTCATATTTGTAGCTATTGTTTAGTTTTGATTTTTTAAGAGCCCGATTGGGCTTTGACTCAGGCATATTTGTATTTTGTTTTGTATAAAACTACACACACCATAAAAAATACTAATTAAAATTACTAGTAGTCATTAAGATGTTTTTTATTACTAAAATAATTATCATTTCACTTATTTTTACTAATATACGTAAAAGAAACCGAAGTTTTCATTGGAACTGCGTTATCACCAGCTGACTTTTGCAATCACTTTTATATGGTATATACGAGTATTATAGTTAAATTCACTTATGTATCCGCATTCGAAGGGGTATATACGAGAAGCACCTACGTATATAGATTTCGGAGATGGAAGCCGCCGATCCCAGAACGATGTTAAAGCTTGGATTTCGCCAAGTCGACTGAGTGGATCGAGTGGAACTCAAAACCATTTATAGAACCGGCTTGGGAGATTCCGAAAACAGCTGAAAGCGAGGGGATGGGAGAGAGATAACACTGCGATTGGGAGAGCAGGAGAGCGCATTTAAGGTGACAAGTTCTAAGAGAATAGAGAGAAAAGAAAAGCTCTAGCATCTTACTCGGAATATACTCTCGCAATCGGCCCACGGGGCGTATGGAATCCGAGTGAATGAATCTGGTCTTTCCCCATTCCAGCCTATGTTGATGGCCAGTCTCTCGGTGATCTCTATCGCGATAATCTAAATATAAGCATACGATAAGCTACGAGGTGAGCGGCGACTGCAACCAGGTGTGCTGGGAAAACCCCTGCTTCAAAGTGGAAAGCCCTTTAGTTGAATGTTACAATTAAGATCCAAGAAAAGTAATTTCATCTTCACTATAATCTTCGTTTCTTTAGTATTAGTATTGAAAAAATCATTTTTATGTAAAAGCGTGCCTTATTTTCTGTTTAAACTACAAAGTAATGCCGAGTTCTTTGATCTCCTCATCGAGCCAGTTGCGCAGGTATGGCACATTGGCATAGACGCCTGGGATGTCCTCCTCGCCACACTCCACGCCCCAGGACACGATGCCCACCAACTGGTAGCGGTCCCTTTCGCCTGGCATCGTGCAGAAGAGCGGGGAGCCGCCGTCTCCGTGGCAAGTGTCCTTGCCAGGATCGCCGCCGGCACAGATAAAGCTAGGGCGGAGCCGGAATCGGCTCTCCAGCCGCGTGATGCGCAGCTTCGCCTGGCACTCGCTATGCTCCACCAGCGGCAGATTGATCCGCTTGAGTACCTGCTCCAGATTGTCAACTTTGGCATCCTTGGAGCCCCATCCCGTGGCGAAGCAGGTGGAGGATAGCAGCTGGCTGATCAGCTGCGGCGTTTGAGGAGGCGGGAGGCAGAGTGGCTGTATGTGCGGAGCCAGTTGGACGGGCTCCTTCAACTCCAAAAGGGCAATGTCGTTGAACAATTTTTGTGGATGGAAATCCGGGTGCGTGATGATCTTCTTAATGCGCCGACTCTGGTGGATGTACGGCTCGTTTACACTGTTCAAATCCCACTCGCCTAGCCGGGCCACCAGGGTGTCCACCGTCTCGTTGACCACATTGTGCGAGCTGGTGACCACCAGCTGAGGATGGATGAGCGTTCCACCGCACAGGAACTTCTGCCGCCCGGTGAAGATACCCACCATCCAAGGAAACTCGCCGAAGACGGAGACGTCCTCCGTGTAGTTGAACTTGTCTTCGTCGGGAATCAGGCCCTTCGGGTTGCTCCAGCCACAGTTCTTGTACTTAAAGTCCTTTTGCTTCTGCACATAAGGACTTTCGCTGTCGTCGACCTAAGAAAGGGAAAGGGTGTCCCAATATTATCTTTATTATTCTTTTCAGGTGTTTTATTGCGACTCACCTCCTGGCCAACCTCGCAGCAGCGGTACAGGGACTTGGAACACTGCGTTTTGCCGATCCTTGGATTTATGAGGCTGACTCCAGCGTCATCGATAATGTTGTCACGGCACAGCTTCCGCGGCACGCATTCCATGTTTAGGCCGCAGCTCTCGTTGGGCTTTGGTTCTGGGAACCGGCTCACCTTGTTTTGGATCGACTTTTCTTCCTCCTGAAAAGTATCCCAGCTCTTGAGCTGCTCCTTATCGCAACACATCAAGCCCTCACCGCAAAAGCGAATGGCTACTCTCGGTTTGATAACCTTCTGGCCGGAGTCATCCGACTCTTCGCAACGCTTCACTGTCGTGCAAAGCTCGTTCTGATGGCACTTCGGTGATGGAAAATCCTGAGCATTGACTCCAATCGCAAGGAGGATCAGCAGGAGGAGCATAGCCGGCGCCATCTGTGATGGAAGTTACATAGTTTTTCATTGGAAGTGATTAATAAAAAGCGCGACTTGAATGATCAATAATATATAAACGAGTAAGATCTGCTGCACTCAAAATTTCCATAATGCACTAGTATATTCGCATTCGAGCACCTACTTGTATTGACTGTGGAGATAAATGTCGCTGATCCGATGATGTTTCAGCTTCAGTTTCGCCAAGACAACTGAGTCGCTTGGTAGGAAATCTAAGCAATTTATAAAACCGGCTAGAGAGAGTCTGTACAGCATTTTATTTCCAATATAGTAATGATTAAATCGTAATAACTCGCCATGGATGAGTTATTGTTGGGCCAACGGGGCGTATGGAATCTGAATGAATGTTTTAGGTATTTTCATCCAGGTGAGTGCCTCATTTCAACTACATCAGATAACATTGCTTGTTGCATTCTAAGAAAATTGCATTTCTATTTGGTTATTATTAAAATGCATTTTATTTTGATAAAATTTAAATTTATGGGATTGAACTTTCAGAACTTTTGTATAAATCGTAATTCAAGTGGCGCCGTGCGATTCCTCAGATTATGTTTGGACGTTGTCCTCCTAAAAAAGTATTTTCATCAAAGAAAAAATAAGTAAGAACTAAGATTCAAAAACTAATTTTATATTTTATCCGCTTACCTTCGGTGGCACCTTACAGCAGCGATCAAGAACTCTGGAGCAAACATGGCCGGTCTGGCCGATAATGGGAGTAATGAGGCTGACCCCATCGTCCTTTATAATCTTGTCCCGGCACAACTTCCGTGGCACGCACACCATGTTGATTCCGCAGCTCTCATCGAAGACCGAATAATCCTGGACTGACGGGGAACTCGGCTTTGCCAGGGCCAAGGTCAGCATGAGCAGGAGGACAGCTGGGATCAGCCAGCTGCACCGGTTAGTTAATCCAAACGCCATTGCAGGACGAGAATGATCCGAAACTAGAGTAATTTTAGGTATTTATTTAATGCCCAGCTAGTAGAATTCAGCAGTAGTGATGTTAAAGCACTTATTTAATTTAAATAATTATTAAAATGTCACTTAATATTTAAAGTTATAGTTAGTTAGTTAGAAACTGAGTGCAATTTGCTATTGCATTTAATTGAATGCAAATGCGAAGTTTTTTATTGAAACTGATTTGCAAACAGCGAATGACAGAGCGACTAGTCCACATTATATATTAAAGACTGCTCTATGATGCACTTATGTAGAGTATTTATAGAAGTACATCTATGTATTTATATGCCTATGTACCTTTAAGATCTGGAGATACGCGCACCGAAGATAATCGCTAAGCTTGGGTTTCACCAAGTCAACTGATTGTCTCGAGCGGAACTCATAAGCATTTATAGAACCAGCTTGTGGGATTCCAACGGCACAGAGACGAGAGACTCCGATCGGGAGAGTAAGATAATAATTAATAATCTGAGTAATCTCCAGCAAGCAGAGTGAAATGAGCTCCTAAATAGCGTGTTATTCCTCAGACAGACTCAGTCTAAAACGTGTCGCACCTCTGGCACGTCTCTCCAAATATATTGCGCACCGATTCGATTGGGATTATATATTCTGATATCTCACAATGGGTGAGTGTTGTTTGTTGTTTGGCCCAGCGTGTGAACGAGCCTGCTCTTTCCCATGTCAGCTATCGTCGCCATCACTATGAAGCTTCTCTTGGTGGCCTGTCTGGCGCTGATCTCTCTCACGCCGCCGGCCTCCTCGATCCATACTTGTCCTAGCCACCAGAGCTGCGTGGACAAGAAGATCTGCGAGGTGAGCGACGACTCCGGCCGGGGGAAACTGGGCGTGCGGGTCCTTGACCTCAGCTGTGGCCCCAGCCAAGTGTGCTGCGATAAAGCGCAGCTGGAGAGCTACTATATCGAGATTGAGTACCGCAAACAGCGCCAGGGAAATCCCTGGCTCTTCACAACTACGACGACCACGACGACTATTACTGCCAAGGCGGACGAGGGCTACAAAAGCTGTGGCCTGCTAAAGGAATGTGTGCCACGGCACCTCTGCAAGACCGGAGTAGTCAACGAGGACGGACGGTACATCATCAAGGCGCGCATAAATGAGGACAGCAACTTTGGCTGTCGCTCCGTGGAGCAGTGCTGTCCACTGGACGACCAGGTGAGGGGAAACCTCTAAGAAAATGGAAATCAAAGCAAATAACAAACCTTCTTCAGATCGAGGAAGAAAAGAATCCCAACCTGCGCAGCGTCCAGGACTTTCAGTTCAAGGGCTGCGGTTATAGCAATCCGCGGGGCCTGTACTACACGCTGGATGGCTACAACGACAACGAGTCCATCTTCGGCGAGTTCCCCTGGATGATCGCACTGATGGACATGGAGGGGAACTTCATCTGTGGCGGCACCCTGATTCACCCTCAGCTGGTGCTGACCAGTGCCCACAACGTGGCCAACTACACCGAGGACTCGCTGCTGGCGCGGGCCGGCGACTGGGACCTCAACACACAGACTGAGCGGCTTCCCTACCAGATGCGCCGGATTAGTCGCATGCATCGCCATGAGAACTTCAATAAGCTGACCTTCTACAACGACATCGCCCTTCTGGTCCTGGAGCGACCCTTCCAGCTGGCCCCGCACATCCAGCCGGTTTGCCTGCCGCCGCCGGAGTCGCCGCAGCTGTCAGAGCAACTGGAGCGGGCGCAGTGCCTGGCCACAGGATGGGGGCACAGCAACAGCTCGTCCCGCACCATGGAGCACTTGCTAAAGCGCATTGTCCTGCCCGTGGTTGACCACGAGTCCTGCCAGCGTCTGCTGCGTCTCACTGTCCTGGGTCGTCGCTACCGCCTTCACGACAGCTTCATCTGTGCCGGCGGTGTGAAGGGCAGGGACACATGCAAGGGCGACGGCGGCTCTCCACTGTTCTGCATGATGCCGGGGCAGCCGGATCGCTATCAGCTAGCCGGGATTGTGTCCTGGGGCATTGAGTGCGCCGAGAAGGATGTGCCGGCGGCCTATGCGAATGTGGCCTACCTGCGGAGCTGGATCGATGAGAAAATGGTGGAGTGTGGCTTCCCGCCGAGTGAAAATGTTTGAGATCAGAGGAAATTTATAGCAAAAGCGATCAAGTATACATTATAATTATTTTCAGAGTTGTTGTCAATAATATATTTTATTTGATTTTTGTCTACCACACAAGACCCTTAAGAAACTAAACTTTACAGAGATCAAAAATAGCTTTTAGTGCCAGTTTTTGGATGTCTAAAAGTATACTACAGACAATATGTATAACATAGATTAATAATTAATCAAAACTTCAAAAGCTTCTCCTGTTCAGCAATCCAATTTTATTCCCAAGACAAGTTCGGAGTCACGCTGTTAGGTTTGTCTGCCCGTAAGAACGTTTAAGCCAAATTGAGTGGCGGCATTGGGAATGGAAAATGGAAATTTATGGCGGAGCAGGTGAAAGTGCCGCCCCCAAGCCACCCATCTAACCGTTCAATGCAAGATTTATGTGTGCAGCTTAGGCCGCCGATTCCGATGGCAAATAGAGGTCTGCCGAGCTGAGGGCTTGGCTTGGCTTGAAATGAAATGAATTCACTTACTAGCTTTTGCTCTCGTCTGGCCAATTTGCATTGTTAATTGGCCCGGGGATAAGTTCAAAAAACCACAACGAGCAATCAACTAATCCCACTGACTCAGTCAATTACGATGGACTACATATAGTTTACAGCTCGCTGTCTTTGGTTTGTTTATTTTGACAGAAGCTAAAAAGCCGCAGAGATTCATTTGCAATGCAAAAACCCAATTAGAGAGTCGCTTTTTCTCCAATGCCACGTTTTCCGGCTAATAAGCAAATTATCTAAGAAGGTTCTTGGAAGAGAAAAACGGTAACTAGGCTCAGGGGACAGCAGTGGCAACGAGGGGACTCTGAATTAAATGAAATTAGGGAAACAGTACAGGGAACTACTTTTAAATCGAAACCGATTTAAAGCCTTGTGGAGAACCTACGCTAAATTTTGCACTAGGCCAAGCATAAAAAATTGAGATATCGGCAGCTAACTGACTCACTGACTGGTTGACTGATTGCTCATACGCACCGTTGCCGCCGAAACTGCACAGCCTGTCCCTGCTGCTGCTGCGCCAAGCTATCTGCTGGATTTCAATAACCCTGCCTGGCAGTAGCTGATGCTACTGTTTCATGGGATTTTGTCAGCGCTTTTATGGAGCTACAAATCAAAATTTGTTGGACCCCGCACACACACATAAATCACACACTGCGACGGCATGAATCTCTCTTGGATCCCTAAACATACATACATATATAGAAAAATGGAAACAAACAAAATTGTCACAGGGATACAGTATTATTTTCTAAGCATTTTGCTTGGGCCAAAAACTCTGCGTACCTGTGTGTGCCATAATTAAGAATTCAATTTAAACTTTGGCAACTTTTCCGAGAGGGTGAGAGAGCCAGGCATCAGGTGGCTCTCACTGCGGCCGTGTTAAGTAAAAAAGCCGCAACATCATTACGCTCCTACATTTGCATGCAGCTGGCTTTCACGAAAACTTCTCCCCGCACACGAGGCAAAAACAGGAGCAGAGCAAAAAACTCACACGGCCCACGTGGCGTATGAGCAATGAAATGCATCTGCGCTGAGGCGAGTCCCATATGCCGCTGCTTCTGCTTTCGCTGTGTCTTAAAATGTGCTGGCTTGATTAAAGGTTAAATATTCCGTAATTAGTGAGGGTTTTTTCATTTATAATTTTTTAACATTAACTAAGAAATTCGCTTAACTTCCTTAACAAAGTCCCAATTTGGCTTCTGGTATGGACTATACACTAACGGATACGATGGGTAAGAGAGTCTAGGAAGTGACACGCCGGCCAAGAACGGATCGGACATCCTTGGTGAAGCGCAAAGCATCGAGGAATGGCAGTAGCTTCAGCAGCTCCTTGTCGTCAGGATCGTAGATGAAGGACTTTATAGGCAGGGCGTTGTTGGGGAAATAGAGGTAGGCGTTCGGTGAGTTGTCGATGATAAACACGCCCCTCAGGTCCTCGCTGACCAGAGTCAGGTCCTTTGTGAACAGAGCCGTGGTGGAGTGACAGTGCTGGCGGTAAAGACGGCGCGTCAGCATCTCCCGGCCTCCATCCAGAAGATCCACCACCTTGGAGGCATAGACCTCCAGGCTGGCCGTGTAGATGACCAGGTCATACCACTTGGACACTAAACTTAAAAACTTGTCCACATGAGGCCGCTTGAAGACCCGAAAGGGAATGGTGGAGTTGGCATCGATGGTGACGTCGATTTGGTAGTCGGGCACTGCCCTCTCAGGTATCTGACCGCAGCCTACTTGATCCTGCGTCTCTGGATCTGTGTAACAGGAGTGAACCAGAGTCTCATCCAAGTCCAGCACCAGAGTCTTCCGGCCCACCGTCTGCAGTCGCCGAAGGGAGGCATGCGAAGGGGGCACCTCCTTGTATGCATCACCTGCCCGGCCGGAGAAAAAGCTCCTGTATATCTTGTCCAAGAGGTGGGCAAATAGATGCTTGAAGTGGTTGCCCAGGTTGGCGAATAGGACGAGAATGCGGTGGGTATTGGTCGGTCCAGTACCGTATGGGGTGCCCTGGGGGTCGTGGACCAGAGAATAGGCCATCTGATCGGGAGAAGCTAGCTTTTCTATATGCGCCGAGTGTGTGGACAGCGGGCTGACCATCGTTTCCAATTCGCCGGAAAGCGAATTGATAAACTAAGCGGCTGATCAACTCCTTCCTCTCTTACATATACATGGAACTAAACTATATAAACTATGATTTTTTTCAACCGAATAAGTAGCGTCAATGGTTTCAGAAAAACTAATCGGTTTACCTTAACACTTCATGACTCTAGATCCATCGGTTGACTAGATGCTAAATACGCTTATGAAATCCATAGATCCTTGAGTACATTTTGCTTAACTTTTGTTTACATTGAGTTCTAGCCTTGAGTTTTATAATGAGAAAAGGTCAATGGGAATGGCAATGGGAACAGCTAAGGGCAAAAAGTATGTTGCTATTTTCTGCCGCATTTGGTATCCTACATTAGACTCAAGTTGAGTCACTCAACTTTCTCGTATTTCCCCATATATTCCTCGTACTTTGATTTTCAGTTTTGAGGATGCCTTGAAGACGGGTTTTAAGTTTATGTATTCCAGCATAGGCGTTACGTTTACAATCCATTGCCATGAAGCTACTGCTCTTCACACCTCTGCACTGATGAAGCGGTTAAGTCAAATGTGAGACAGCGCTAATTGCCAGCATACCGCAGACACGAAGCCAAGACTCTTGGCAGCCGATTCATTAGCCTACAACAAGGACACGTAGCCGGGTCCAAAAGGATATGCAGGCCCGGACGGAAGGTGACCTACAACTACTACAATGGGCAGCAAACAAGAGCAGTTCCCCTGTGCACCCCGGCATTAATTAGGGCTTGCATAATTCACCAGTACAGCTGTAAATGTAAACTGTTGGCTCTCGCACTGTCCGGCTTCCGCTTGGGCCAACGCGGCGTATACGCAACCCATCCACTGGCTAATTGAGTTATAATGCTAAGCGGCAATTTACGGCCAGTAGCATTAGCCTCCAGACGCTCTCCAGACATAAATCAGCAGGCAATGCCCCGCCGACTTGCCACTGCAGTTACTTAATATGTAGTAGCTCGTAGTCGCTCTCTGTAAATACATGGTCCTGGTCCAGTGCCTGAAATATTTTCCATTTAGCCAACTGACAACGGCAGCACAAAGTTTTACGGCGGAAATAACTAGCTGCAGTGCTGCAAAGTGCAACTGCAACTGCAACTGCAGCGGCAACGGCAACTAGCAACTTGCAACTTGCAAGTGAGCTGCAATGTGAAATATGTTTGGCGTTTTCGTGGTATATTTTTATGTTTATTAAGAAAAATGATGAGGTTTCTCCTTCCTTTGCCCCTTCAACCGCAGCGCTTATAAAACTTGTTATAAATAGTTTGTGAAAACTTTTGATGTCTGGGTAATAAAGAAAATAAAATATATATATACCCAGGAAGACATTTACAATGGAGCCAGTCATGATTTTTCAAATTTAAAATCATAGATTACTCGCACGTTCCGCCGATACAACACGATTTATGGAAGCCAATGGAAAAAGTTCCAGTTGATAAGGCGAAGAACAGCGGTGTTAATAAATAAATTCATTCAGTAAACAGGGGCTTGTCTTATGGCTGAAATCTATAGGAATGAAAACAAACAAGAAAAGAAGCTAACTTCGGCACACCGAAGTTTGTATACCCTTGCAGATTGGTTTTGATGTTTATATTATAAATTTAAATGCTGAAAACACTCACAAAACAGAGTTTCATTACATTTTACCTATACTTATACTGGCATGACACTGCCGCATTAATTAGAGACTTCATTAAAGATTTGACAGCGCAATAGCGTTTTACACAAGTGCGAGCAAGACGACTATATGGCGCTCTAATGCATTAGAATAATGCATTAGCTACTTCATTGCCGCGATAATCGATAGATCTACATAAAATATACCAGATACTCGATAACAAAATACGGGTTTAATGAAGAAAATTGTAATTGAAAAATGTATTAGCCAGTTCATTGACAGTATGGTCTCACAATGAGAATTTTATTTTTATATCATTTCGCTGGTTTTTTGAACTGAAAAAATATTAGAAAATTAGGAAAAATAATATGTTTTGCGAGGGCAAGGTTCTTACGCTGTAAAATTAATTTAAAATTTTTTTTGGTAATAATTTAAAAAAATTTAAGCCTTATAGGTTAAAAACATAAATTTAAAGGATTCTGCATTTATTTATGCAAGAATACTTCGACGAGGAATTCAGAAATTCATAGTAATACGCCTCGAATGGCGGCCGTTTGTTTTGTTTACCTTTTACGGTCGGTGTGACCGTAGTCGTATTACCAAAATAATCCAAGCAAAATTCAAGCCAAATTACACAAAATTACACATATAGTGGTCTCTTTCAAGGTTCTAATGAAGTAGCTAATTAATGAAAACTGCATTAGTGTATCATATGGGCATTATTATGTTTACAGTTTGACAGTTACAGTTTTACATTCCCAGCTTTACATTTTCTCTACATTTACCGATCGTTTATATGGCAGCTATATGATATAGTTGTCCGATTTTCATAAAATTTTTAACAAAATTCTGAAATAATAAAAGAAGCTTATATCTAAAAGTAGATAAGAATATGTTGAAAAACAACGAAGTTATAATTTTTTTCCTATTCATTTTCCGATCGTTCCTATGGCAGCTATAAGATATAGTCGTCCGATTTTCATAAAAATTTTACCAAAATTCTGGAAAAATATAAAATGACTATATCTCAAAAATGATGCAAAAATATTGAAAAACAGCCAAGTTAAATTTTTTTTTTTTTAATTTATCGAACATTTGTATGGGAGCTATATGATATAGTCGTCCGATCCGGCCCGTTCCGACATATATAGCAGTGAGAGTATATAGAAGACTCTATGCAAAGTTTCATTCAGATAGCTTTAAAACTGAGGGACTAGTTTGCGTAGAAACGGACAGACGGACGGACGGACAGACGGACGGACAGACGGACGGACAGACGGACAGACGGACAGACGGACAGACGGACATGGCTAGATCGACTCGGCTGTTGATGCTGATCAAGAATATATATACTTTATAGGGTCGGAAACGTCTCCTTCACTGCGTTGCAAACTTCTGACTGAAATTATAATACCCTGCAGGGGTATAATAAAATTGCTTTTTCTATAATGAAATGCCAATCCGCTGACCGATATATCATGCCAGCTTAAAATCAATTTCACATCATTCTCTGCCAATACTGAATGCCATTCTGCACTTGAGCTTTAAATATTTGATGACTTTCACACCGAATCAGGGAATCAGGGGAACAGGACCTGGCCAATGAATTCCTTTGCTCGTTTTTGCCTCAATTCGGCACTGGAAGTCTATGTAAAAACGTGAGGGAAAATGCAAAACAATTTGGTAACAAGCAAAATGCATCAAATCGCATGACTCTCCTGCTGCCGAAGGGAAATCTCGAGTGGCGAAAGGAGAGAAACCAAAGCTGCTGCAAAAACATGTCACATTAAGTGCACAGATGGAGGCGGATAGCGGATGGAAGATGGACACATGGACGGAAGTCTAAGGGAGCTAGCTGAGTGCTTTTATTGCTGCCGGAATGCTGCGTGGCATTTGCCTTTGAAGTTGGAGCTGCCACTTGGCTTCCGCTTCGCCCTCTTTTTTTCTCTTGCGCACAGTCCTTGTTTATGCAATTGTACTTAAATCTAATGGTTATGTTATAGCTGCAGTTGGGAAAAAATGCCGGAATCAAGTGAAATTTGCATTTGGCAGGACTGAGTTGCACAGAAAAAGCAATCATAAAATATAAGAGTTATTTAATTTAAGATTTTTTAGCACTTTCTAGTTGGTGACTAGCTGCTATTGCTAGTGGTTCTTAATATCTTATCCTTTGGCATTACTGAGCCGCAAATCGGCGCTCTTTCAGGACACCAATCTCCAGCGACTTTAGCCCTAATTAACGAGATGCCTTCCCCGTCGTTGCACATCGGTCGAGGTTTCCCTTCATTATGCAACAAGCTCTTTTTTATGCTCGAGTGTCGGGTCAGGACAGTTTGCCAGGAGTGTCTACTCCGCTGCATTTCAATGGACGACTGTCAGTTCGTTTTCTCGTTTGCCGACGCCTTTGGAGGGCATTTCCCTTGGCAATGTTTTAATTATGATACTTCATTAACTTAATTAGTCTGTGCGTTGGCAGCAGCGGCAATCTCTACCTCCGATTATGGTGGAAAATGCAGACCGAACTTTGGGAATTCAACTTGAAAATGCATTAAACTCTGCACAGTTAGAGTTCCCAATTAAATATACTTAATGTCTCAGTAAAATTTTAACATTTTGGGGCTGTAAAATTTCCTATCAATCAAACTGGTTTCAATATACTGTCCACGGACAGATCGTGAATGACCTCCCACTCCGCACAAATGACGAAGAGCATGAAGAGTAGGAAAATGCACCACAGAAAAACTCCGGCGGACCGACGGGCATGAAAGTCGTAGGTGATGGACCACCATAGCGTGGTCGCAATAGTTATAACCAGGAAATAATAACAGATTTCACCGTGCTCGCCGAACACCCACGAGGCGGCGTCCACCTGGCGAACTCTCTTGTTGAATATGAAGGCCACACTCATGCTGACCACAATAGCTGAAATAAAGGAATTATTCTGGATATGATTGAAACAACATTGAAACCACGTTAATACCAAAAACAGGACCACCTATGATGGCGGCAAAGGCCATCCGTCCGTAGCCCTGCAGAGTCAGGTGCGAGTTGGCTATCATATCCGGCGTGGCATTCGATATCGCTCCAATGGTGACGGCCATAAAGTTCTCCGACAGATCAAAGACAATGCCCACAATCTCGGAGAGCACCTCCAACTCGGTGGCCGCTATCCATATGGTTGTGATAGAACTGAAAAAGGTGAGCAAGGCGAAGAGCTAAAAAGAATACCATGAGACCTGTATCAAAGACCGAGCACCGAGGGCCTACCAGGTGATAGCAAGGCGGCACATCCGTTCGCGAATGGAGGAAAATCGCAATAGCCAGCGGAAGCGTCAGACATGGTGACCACATGGATATACTGAGATTGAGGGTTATGTACCACGTATGGTACTTGCTGGACACCGCGGCTGGAGGTGACCCGGGTAGGACATTAGATGCTTTGCCTCTGGACTCACACATACCTACAATGCACCAGAGTGATGACCACAAACGGATTCAGCACAATCTGCAAGCAGTTGAGCAGCTTGCTCCAGCCATGCTTGTCCTTCTCAAAGTCCACCACGGGAATGAAGACCAGCAGTAAGAGCACCAGAGGACTCCGGATGATTAGGAAGAAGCGCTGACAGCAACCACCCAGCTCCCACGCCTCTCCGTCAATGGGATTCAGGGACTCGAGAAACTCGCGGAAGAGCATAAGGTTCTTCGGATTCTCCGAATTGTACAGATACGTTCGATTCTTCTCGACGTCAACGGTCTCGGGAGGATCCCTCTGTTTTGGGGTAACGAAGTAGCCAGCATGGGTCGCTTCGATAAAGTGACTTCCCGACGCCGTAGAGCGACGGTACTTAGTGGTGTCATGGATGGGGAGTTCGTCGTCCACCTCCCACGAAGTCAGTTTTCCCATCCTGGCCGCGTACTCGTTTTGTGGTATAGTTGGTAGACTCTTCATTTCCTCGAGTTCCCTTCGAAGCTCTGGGGGGTGGACATTGATTAGGGTTCTTCTTAATATTCATTTAGCTTACTCTTCATGGAGTAACGCATTATGACGAGATCGATGACATTTACGGTTACATAGACAACATACACGAAGATCAGACCTTTGGGGTAGGTAATTTAGAATTTTGTAGCTGTGATGTAAATGGAACTTACCTATGCTCTCCCACATGGTCACAGTTCCAGGCCCACCCCTGACCATCACATAACGCAGAACCTCCACACCGAGTAGCAGGAACAAAAGGTCCCGCACCGTACAGTGTCCGTTTATTTTAAAAGGCCTTAGGAAGCACACTGCGCCGCCGCTGAGGAGTATTATGGCCAGGGCATTGCCCACCGCTATGGTGAAGATAGGGGCATCGGCTCGCACGGGCATCAGATTGGCAATTATGTCTGGACACGAGTTGCCGAAGGCCAGGAAGGTGACACCCGCTAGATACTCGTTCATATGCAGCTTCCAGCTGACTATCTTCAACACGGGCGCAAAGCTGCAAGCTCGCAGGTGAATGAATACCTGTCAGTCGAAGATAGCCAGCAACTTACAAGGTACTGATATTGTAGGACATCACCCACAGGAACACCACGCAGATGAGCAGGAATAGGCACATCAACAGGATCTCTGTCGTTTTGTTGTCAATGTCAATGTAGCAGTACATCATGCGGAAGTAGTTGAAAAAGTTAATAATACGCTTGCAGTCATGGGCTCTCTTGGCCATCATGCAGCGCATGGAGTAGGGCAGCCGCATCACAGCCACACAGCTTATCTGTCGAAAGGAAGGACAAAGGACTAAATGTAACAGAACTTTCTAATTAAATACCAGTCGCTCACGTTCATAAAGAAGTTCTCAAATTCATAGTCAAGCTGAGTGAAATTCCACTTGGATCCTCTGGTGCGCAGCCTCATGATAAACCCCTATAATATATTTTAAAGAATCACTTAAAATATTGACGAAAATTGGAAGGCCAACTTAATGAATATAATGAATATAATGAATGTAGTAAATGTAGTAAATGCTAGTCTTTTACCGGGTCAGACCATATTCTCTTTTCCTGTGCCATTAAAGCCCCAAGAAATGATAGAAAGGTAGACACACATTTGCCAGCCAATGTGTCGGCCGAAGCTTCCATTGATAATTAGCCACCTTAATCAGTTTTGGAATAAATCAACATCAGCAGATTGCGACGGCGTCAGCCGGGAGGGTCTTCCCCTAATAAGAATCTAAGCAGGTGCCGCTTATGAGGGTTGTAAATCAGCCCCAAATGTCCGATAAGCCGTAGTATTATTTTGGATCTCGGTTCCCTATATAAGCACCGCGCGACACCTCAATCTCCATCAAGTGATCGTCAACTATTACAGCTGGTAATCATGGTTTCCAAAGTGGCTCTACTTCTCACCGTCCTGGTCTGCAGCCAGTACATGGCCCAGGGAGTCTACGTCGTCTCCAAGGCGGAGTGGGGCGGTCGCGGCGCCAAGTGGACCGTCGGCCTGGGCAACTACCTGAGCTACGCCATCATCCACCACACCGCCGGCTCCTACTGCGAGACCCGCGCCCAGTGCAACGCCGTCCTGCAGAGCGTCCAGAGCTACCACATGGACTCCCTGGGCTGGCCCGATATCGGCTACAACTTTCTGATCGGCGGAGATGGCAACGTGTACGAGGGTCGTGGCTGGAACAACATGGGCGCCCATGCCGCTGAGTGGAATCCCTACAGCATCGGCATCAGCTTCCTGGGCAACTACAACTGGGACACTTTGGAGCCGAACATGATCTCCGCCGCCAAGCAGCTGCTGCAGGACGCCGTCAACCGCGGCCAGCTCAGCTCCGGCTACATCCTGTACGGCCATCGTCAGGTCAGCGCCACCGAGTGCCCCGGCACCCACATCTGGAACGAGATCCGCGGCTGGTCCCACTGGTCCGGTTAAAGCCTTGTTTCTTCCTCAATAAAAACACACGATCAGAATTAAAAAATATAATAGCATGCAAGGTTTTATTGATCCAAAAAACGGCTTGTGGGTCGTGGATTAGCTTTTCATTCGGATAACCATGTCTTCGGTAAAGTCGTGGATCAAGTTCAGCTCTATAAAAGTTACGTAGATGAGGAAGATCCCGAACAAGCACCACAAAAAGACCCCGCCGGAGCGGCGGGCGTGAAAGTCAAAGATCCAGCACCACGATATCGTGGTCCAGATTGCCAGCAACAGGAATACGTAGAGGGTCTCGCCGAAGTCTCCGAACATATCCGAATGATCCAGCTTTTTTTGTGCAAACTGTGTTCCAATGTTGCTTACGAGGTCTGCGGGAGAGCCACAAAATGTTGTATTCAAATATCATATATTGGGGCGACAGATATGGAAATTCAGGGCCTTACCGAACACTATGCCGCCAATGATGCCGCCAAAGGCCATCTTCCCGAACCCTTTCTTAGAGAGACGGGTGTAGGTGATCATATCCGGCAGCGCATTAGACAACGCGTTGAAGGTGACGATCATGTAGTTGGGCGATAAGTGAAATACGATGCCAATTATGGAGACGATCACCTCCATTTCCCAGGCGCAAACCCAGACAACAGTGATCACGCTGATAATGTTGGCAGCAGCAAAAACCTTGAAAGCAGAAGTGGAAATGGAATTAAAGTAGGAATCGAAGTGGGAAGCCTCGCTGGGCCCAGTATATTGTTCGTCTTACGATATGGTAGGGGGGCGGGATATCCGTTCGCGAGTGGCAAAATACAATTAACGACAGCGGCACTGTTACCGCCAAGGACCAATAAGCATATTCATAATTAAAAGTAATTAACCAACTTGTACCATGAGTTGAACCAAACATTGCTGAAAAGAGATAGTGATTTAGGTTAATCGTAAGTGACAATATATCCTGTTTCAGAATAACGCACTTTCCAACAGCATGAGGACCCAAAAGGGATTTATAACTATCTGCAAGCAGTTGAGTAACTTGCTCCAGCCATGCTTGATCTGAGCATAGTTCACTTTTGGGATCGCCAGACGCAAGATGAACGAGACAGGCGCCGTAAGGATGATTTTTAACCGTCCGAATTTGCCACTCAACGACCACTGGTCTTTATCAATGGGATTGAGTTCTTGGAAGAACTCGGTGAACAGAAAACGATTCCGCGGATTGTTAATGCTGTGCAGGACCTTTCTGTTGCTCACCGCGTTCACCTCCTTCGGCTCAACCAAAGGCTTCGGTGTGACATAGACGCCGGCGCGAAAAATTCCATAGCGGGTTTTCATTCGTAGTAGCTGGACGTCGTCGTCCACTTCAAGATCGGTTAATGTAATAACCTTATCGTACATTTTTTTTTCCATCTGCGGCGAGTTCGGCTCATTTCTCAGGAAGTGGATTTCGCGTCGGAGTTCAGCAGGGAATTAAAAACATTAAACATTGTCTAGTATGTATATTTCAACCACTTACTTCTTATATTGTGACGCGTAAGGATAAAATCGAATATATTTACAGCCAGGTATATTGGGTATATAGAAAGTATCACTAACCACGATAAATAGATACTAATTCTTTTTAGTTTGTTCATTAGGTTTACTCACCAGCGGCCTTTATCCAGTTGGTTAGTGCAGTTATGTCCAGAAAGAGGCGGATTAGCTCAAGAAGAAATATCACAAAGAGGAAATCGCGAAAAACATTGGAACCGCTCATCTTGAACGGCATTATAAAGCAGATCGCTCCACCGCTCAGACATATGGAAGTCAGGGCAGTGGACATGGCTATGTTCAGGGTGGGAGACCCCGCCCGCACTGGCGATAAACTAAGCAGGACATCGTTAGTGGAATTGGCCACGCCCACCAGTATTACACCGGCCAAGTACTCGTTCAACCGACACCTTATCGCCGCGATTTTCAGAGCGGGTAAATAGCTGTGGAAATTCATATGGATCAGATATGCACAAAAGGTTTATATGGTTCACGGACGCCAACTCACTATTCGTTGATGGACAAAAAAACTACACATAAAAGTAGCATATAGATCAGGCTATATAAACCCATCATGTATATCTCATTCTTATTGTTGCGTACTCTGAAATCGCAATACATCAACTGAAAGTAGTTGATGATATTTGTGTATCTATTGCAGTGCGGAAGTTTTCGGGCCATTTCGCAGCGACCTGTATAAGATATTTTCATCAAAGACAAGCAGCTCATCTGGAAGTCAGGAAAATAGTCACAAATTATAATACACAGTGATCAATTGCACTCACGTTTTCCATAAATTTATTAAACTCCGCCTGCAGTTCTGTAAAGTCCGCAAGTTTCAGACTAAAAATCTGTGAAAATGCACTAGAGGTTACTTACCTTCCTTCATGATGAAAATATATTTGTATTTTGGTTTACTGTTCAAGTAACAAGGTGACAGGCACAGGAAACCGTACTAAGATGTTAACACATTTATAAAATGGGCTTTATGAAAATGGGAAGATTATATCATATATGTAGATGTGGGGAAAATGTAATGATGTGAATGTTAAACTGTATCTGTAAAACTGTAAAGGGAAATGTAATACAAGTTTGTATTTTAAATTTTTGAAACCCCAAATATACCAATTTTATACCATTTCAAAATGAACTTTTATCAAAACCAAATTAATGTAGAATCGTGGTCATAAGTATTTTGACATAAATAAAATAACTGTATTTTATTTGTCTAAAAAGCATTAGAACAATTTATTTATAATAGAGTAATAAAAAAAAACTAGAACAAATATTACATTTCATTTTAAATCCTATACAAAAAATACAAATTCATTAAAGTGGGATGCCGAAGTTCGATTTTTTTAAAGTAGAAAGTAGAAATTAATATAAAACAAGAAAGGAAGCTAACTTCGGCACGCCGAAGTTTGTATACCCTTGCAGATTGGTTTTGATGTTTATATTATAGATATAAATGTTGAAAACACTCACAAAACAGAGTTTCATTACAGTTTACCTATACTTATTATGTTTACAGTTAGACAGTTACAGTTTTACATTCCCAGCTTTACATATTTTATACAATTACCGATCGCTTCTATGGCAGCTATATGATATATTTGTCCGATTTTTATGAAATTTATACCAAAATTCTAGAACAATAAAAAAAGCCTATATCTCAGAGTAGATAAAAATACGTTGAAAAACAACGAAGCAATAATTTTTTTCCTATTAATTTCCCGATCGTTCCTATGGCAGCTATATCATATAGTCGTCCGATTTTCATAAAATTTTTACAAAAATTCTAAAATAATATAAAATGGCCATATCTAAAAAATGATGGAAAAATATTGAAAAACAGCAAAGTTATAATTTTTTTCCTAAAAATTTATCGAACATTTGTATGGGAGCTATATGATATAGTCGTCCGATCCGGCCCGTTCCGACATATATAGCAGTGAGAGCATATAGAAGACTATATGCAAAGTTTCATTCAGATAGCTTTAAAACTGAGGGACTAGTTTGCGTAGAAACGGACAGACGGACAGACGGACAGACGGACAGACGGACATGGCTAGATCGACTCGGCTGTTGATGCTGATCAAGAATATATATACTTTATAGGGTCGGAAACGTCTCCTTCACTGCGTTGCAAACTTCTGACTGAAATTATAATACCCTGCAAGGGTATAAAAAACCTTCCTACGGTATCTATAACCTTTTGGAAACTAGCAGGAACAGATTTTACTGAATTTAAACGCGTTTCAATCGAAATTTCCATCCATAGTCCTTCGACTTTAGCAATTGTTTCCTTTCGAGCTCTTGTTAAGTTTGCACTCCTCTTGCGTTTTATGAAATCCCACACATTTTCTATGATGTATTAATACAATAACAATGAAATGATACAAAATGACTGTAACTCAAAAAGACGAAAATATATCCAAAAACACCGAAGTTATAATGTGTCAGTGAGGGTAGTCTCACAGTGAGAGCAATAAGAAGACTATCTACAAAGTTTCATTCAGATATATTCAAAACTTAGGGACTATTTTGCATAGAAATGTACAGACGGAAACGTATCGACTCGGCTGTCAATGCTGATCAAGAATATATTTACTTTATAGGGTCGGAAATGTCTCATTCACTGCGTTGCCAACTTATGACTAAAATAAGAATACCCTGGAAGGGTAAAAAAGGTATATCCATTTTGGTTCGCCTCAGTTTAAAGCTAAGGTTCGTGTCTTAACTAAACATTTGAGCGAGCGAGATGGATAGAGAAGATTAGAACTTTAATGTATGTTTCCCTGCCTACCTATTTATGCACAAGTTGGTATACTTACCTTTTATAGTTTCCGAGTTCTTTAGTTTTTATAAAAACTTACTGGTGCACCTAAGTCATCTCGACTGCTGATGCTGATCAGAAATATATATATTTTATAGGATAGGAACTATGTAAATTATGTGTTGTTAAGACCTTTGCTTAACTTAATTCCCTAAGAAGAACAACAAAAGTTGTAACCGGAAAACTATGTCCAAATCACCGATAAGGACCTCTGGAATGGCCAATCGAATAAATCAAATGATTATGATTATGACGAAGCTCTCTCTGAGGTGCTTCCCCCGAGGCGAATCAGAGTAAGTGCCGCCAAGTAGCGCTGTAAATCAGTAGCAAACGCAAAGATAAGGTGCTACTTTGGATCCCAGTCCCCTATATAAGCACCGCGCGACACCTCAATCTCCATCAAGTGATCGTCAACTATTACAGCTGGTAATCATGGTTTCCAAAGTGGCTCTTCTCCTCGCCGTCCTGGTCTGCAGCCAGTACATGGCCCAAGGGGTCTACGTCGTCTCCAAGGCGGAGTGGGGCGGTCGCGGCGCCAAGTGGACCGTCGGCCTGGGCAACTACCTGAGCTACGCCATCATCCACCACACCGCCGGCTCCTACTGCGAGACCCGCGCCCAGTGCAACGCCGTCCTGCAGAGTGTCCAGAGCTACCACATGGACTCTCTGGGCTGGCCCGATATCGGCTACAACTTCCTGATCGGCGGAGATGGCAACGTGTACGAGGGTCGTGGCTGGAACAACATGGGCGCCCATGCCGCTGAGTGGAATCCCTACAGCATCGGCATCAGCTTCCTGGGCAACTACAACTGGGACACTTTGGAGCCGAACATGATCTCCGCCGCCAAGCAGCTGCTGCAGGACGCCGTCAACCGCGGCCAGCTCAGCTCCGGCTACATCCTGTACGGCCATCGTCAGGTCAGCGCCACCGAGTGCCCCGGCACCCACATCTGGAACGAGATCCGCGGCTGGTCCCACTGGTCCGGTTAGACACCAATATTATTAAATCATTAAATTTGTGTTGAGGAAATCAATTCGAACTTTGTTACTTCTTGGGTGATCTGGCATTGGGTGGGTAATTGCGATTCGGCTGTGTAAACGAAAAATGACTTCCGGCCCCATTATCCATCTTCGTTTTGTAACCGAACACTCACGTTCGAGCTGTCAAAGTATTCATTCGTTCAATTTTCTCAAAAACTTTTCAAATCCAACGCAGCAGGAGCAGGATGTGTGCCTGCAAACTTGCAGAATATCATTATGTCGTCCGGACATTCGTGCCAAGCCTGACACATTTTTTTTTATTTCTTTTGAGGGACGAGATGATACCAAAACGAAAAAAAAAACGCAGTAAGAACAATTTACAACTTGCACCGAAAAGGACCAAAAGCCGAAGGAAACTTTACAGTTAGTGACCGCTTACCAGGGAGAACTATTTGCTACTTGAACCGCAGTCTCATTAACGACATCCTCGTTAACAAAGCCAGCTCTGAATGGGTCGCAGTTGTTTTTGTTTCCGCGCTTAATAACTTGCTCAAGCTTTCAGTTTGAGATTCATCTGCTCCCCCCTTTAGCCCGGCCAGAAGGAGAAGCCACTCGGAAGGCACTCGGATGGCTTGGCAAACTGGCTTGATAAAGTGCTTTGACCCACCCACTTTTCTCCAGCATCCTGGCCAGTTGCGAGTCCAGCCAACTTTTGGATTATGACAAGCTGAGAAATTTTCATGTTTTGACCACCAAGTGTAGGTATGATGAGCTGGGATTAGTTTAAACGGAAATTTACAGAAGCCACCTGCAGTCGGGAGCAACTAAGAGGTACAGGCCATCCCATAATTATTAGTATATTTTTTGTTGGTCTGAAGTTTGTCTTTCCGAAATGTACATTTTCGTATAGCATACTTTTAGAGAACGCCTTTTTACGAATTTTGTGAAAAAATAAACAAGTATTAATCGGTTCAGAATAAGGAATATGCCTCATAGTAAAGGGTATTTTTATGAACCATGCAGTCTATTTACAAGTTACAAGACATGTACATATATGCTCGGTTTAGTAACACCATATCATTCAGTTTCCCCGATCTACCACTACGTCATCGCACAGAAAAGAAGTTCCCATTATGAGAAAGTTATCTTGTGGATCCTATTTGAAAATATATAGCAGTGATCACTAATCTAATCAACATTTTAACTCAACATTCTACGCCTCTGATTGCCAATATTTTGATAGTATTTTGGTGTGTGCCTCAATGATTCCTATCAGCCACTTATTACACTTAATATTTTGAAAATGCCCATAAATTATTTAGCGAAAAGCCTTCATTATCAATGGTGATAACAACAAAAATTTTAAAATGGCTGAAAAAGATTTATATGCGAAACAACAAACGAGTCGTATGATGATGCTCCATGTCATAAGAGCCACAGTGTGGCAATGTTTACTATTTTAATTGTATACAAGAAATAAGTAGTATTAATTAGTTCAATAATTAATAAAATAAGAAAATTTAAAGTATAATTAGACATTTACAAATATAGTAGTCACGAAAAAGAAGTTCCTGAATAGCAGAACAGGACTTTGGGGACTTCTACAAGTTTCAAAAAAGCTTGAAAGCACAGGACGTTTTATAGCAAAGGATATTTTTTATATACCATTTGGGATTTATGACAAGTTTATCCGTTTTATAAATTAACTTGAAAGCTCCTGAGTTTTACAAGGCCGTGGTCTCCAAAAAGTCCAGTTTAACCCTGCTATTTTGCATTAAGGAGTTTTGTTATTTAAAACTTTATTGAAAATCATTTCCTGAATAAATACGACGAATACTTTAATAAAATATTATATGCATAATGGAAGATAATAAAATGGAATTACCGTATAATTTGGATTTATATAAATCAGCAGTTTGCCAAAAACCTCAAACTAAAGGCATGTCAGCTTGCCATAATTTTTTGCACTATAATAAAAGCTCAGATTTTATTTTCCCCTACATAGATACTAACATAAACATTGTATTTTATGAAAGGTATGGCAACTTTTAAGCCAGAAGTACAAAGAATTAATCTTGTTTTATCTGCCATAAAAGCCCGAGAAGGAAATATTAAAAATGGCTTCTGGATGATAATGAAGGTAAAGCTACTTTAAAAACTGGAAATTCTGGCCCCTCACCAGAT